AAGGATCTACATATAACCTCCTCCCTGGGGGATGGACAACAGAAAAGTGGGTGAAGGGAGACGTTGAACAGTGAAAGACATGACAAAATAATAATAATTTACAAATTATGAAGTGTTAATTAGGGAGGGGGGGCAGGAGGGTGGGGAAAAATGAGGAGCTGATACCAAGGACTTCAGAAGAAAGCAAATGTTTTGAGAACGATGATGGCAACAAATGTACAAATGTGCTTGACACAATGGATGTATATATGGATTGTGATAAGAGTTGTATGAGACCCCAATAAAATGATTTTTTTTAAAAAGAAAAAGAACAAAACACTCCCTTATATATAAAAAAAACCTTAAATAACTTCATGTTTCAATAACAAACACTGTAAAAAATACAATAATTTATTATTTTAAGTATGTATTTTATTTATACCATTTTATTAATATGAAGTTATTTACAAAATATTTGTTATTATGAAAAAATATCTATCTTCTCCCATTCTGTAGGTCATCTTTTCACATTAAAAATAATATTCCTTAATACAAAACATTTTTAATTTTGATGCAGTCCCATTTACCTAATTATCTTTCACCCATTGCTTGTGTTTTGATGTTGTATCAAGGAATCCATTGGTGTCTCCAAGATCATGATGATTTAAGCCAATGTGTGCTTCAAAGGGCTTATCCTTTGCCAGGGGTAAAAGATGACACCACTCATGGGCCTTCATTCAATTTCTAAGTCAAAGCATTGGTGGGTCTCCTATTACCTCCCTGGGCTTCCACAGAAATAAAGAATAGCATACACTCAGTCCATTACCAAACACTAAAACTGGCGGTCAAGCCAATAATTACATGTGGGAACAGTCTCCCTGGCCTTCAAAGATTACAGAACACAGTTGAGGAAAAACTGTCAGAGATCCACCCATGCTTAGCCACAAACCAGCTCATCTTTCTGAAGGAGCTTAAAATTACTCTCCCTCCAGCTCAGAATCACAGGACCTGGACTGCTGGGCAGCTTTTGCTCTAATTGGGGGGCTGCTGCCTGACACCTCATGGTCTTCTCCCACCAGTTGTGTCTTATCAGCTTCCATGGGAGACTATGATGTCAACAAAATAGCGGATCACACCCTGTGTGGTATAGTCTCCTAGGCAACCGGACTTGGACTGAGCTCTGTCCAAGTGATGAACCTGTCCTCTAGGTCTGAGAACGCAGGGTGTAGATGAGGGTGTGAGAAAAAAGTCCTCTGGCTCATTTGTAGTTTGGAGAAAGCAAGTAGGTAACAGGTATCCAAATGCTCCCCGATGTTTATAATCCTTGACCCAGCCATTGCACACTGGAAACGCCAGCCATCACTCGACAAATCCCGAGCACTTCCTCAGTGCCAGTCATTATGCCAAGGTCCTCTTCAATGCATATCTCATTATCATCTAATGTGCTTCATTAAGGAAACGAATATTTGTGTACAATATATCTTAGCATACCACGTATTGTAATAGATCATCAGAAACTACTAGGATGCCCAGTAAGGACCCTGGTGGTGTAGGGGGGTAAACATTGGGCTGCTAACCACAAGGTTACTGGTTAAAACCCACCAGCCCTTCCATGGGAGAAAGCTGAGGTTTTCTGCACCTGTAATGATTTACAGTCTTAGAAACCCTAGTGAGCAGTTGTACTGTGCCCCCCAGGGTAGCTGAGGAGCCCTGGTGGTGTTGTCTGTGAGTTAGCCTGTGTCAAAAACCACCAGCCGCTCCTCAGGCGAGAGAGAAGGCTTACTGCTCCCATCAACTGTAAAACCTACAGGAGCAGCTCTACCCTGTCCTAAAGGGCCACAATGACACGGGATCAGCTTGATGACAGTGGGCGTTTAAGATGCACATTAAACTTAATATTTCAAGTCAAGTTTAGGGACATGGAAAAAGTATTACTGTAAATATTATAACTTGGGATTTAAATTGTATCACGGTGGTGCTGCCAGGTAAGCACTGGACTGCTAGCCCCAACTTCCGTAGTGCACACTCCCCCGCCGCCCCCCTGAGGCCGTCTGCTCCCCTGAATATTTACAGCCCTGGAAACCCGCTAGAGGGTCGCTAGGCGATGGAATCCACTCAGTGGCAGTGGGTTCGTTTTATTTTGTTTTCTAGTATAAATTATTGCCTCAATGTTGGGTTTTGGGGTTTTTTTTAATGTCTCTGAAGAAGATAGCTTGTCTGAGTCTACTTCAAAGACAGTAAAGCAGCTTCCTCACCACTGGCCACCTACCGCCTCAGTCACCTTTTGCCCCAGACCCCCGTGTTTTGCTGGACATCGTGGGTCCCTCAATTTCACGGCTGACGCTGTTTGTTCTCGCCTGCTGCATGTTGCCTGCTCATCTGTGCTCCTGACCACATTTTTCTCCAGGTCAGCATCTTTGAGCCTGGTCACCCTCATCTGGAACCACTAAGTGTCTGGACCAGACATAACTAAAAAGGAAGCATTGTGATCTTATTGTCGCCCCACATTGTCAAGCTAAAACAGAAAGCCTCAAGTCCTTGAAGTCCCGGTCCCAAATATTTCAATAAGGAACTCCAACCTCTTAAAATTAAAAGACTAAATTTCAACTAAAACCAAACTCACTGCCCTCGAGTGGAGGCTGACTCATAGTGACCCTGTGGAACAGGACCGAGCTGCCCCTGTGAGTTTGCCAGACTGTAACTCTTTACGGGAGTAGAAAGCCCTGATCTTCTCCTGCGAAGCAGCTGTGGTTTCGAACTGCTGAGCTTGCATTTGCAACCCAATTCATAAGCACTACACCAAGAGACTAAATTAGTAGGGAAACAATGGGGGGAATTCCATTTTTTAAAGGAAGTATGTAAGTATGATTTAACTTTTTTAGCTTAAATTTTACACAGCTTTGAGAAAAACCATGCTGCTTAGTGCCTGGAGGGCTCTCAGGTTGTCTGTGGTAGTCAGCAGTGGGGTGCAGCTGGTTAGCACTGGCTCAATAGAAACAATACCTGATTTTTTACTGAGTTCATCTAACCAGTTGTTAAAAATGCACTTGTCATCAGGGTTCTCTCTAAGGTGGGGGGCAATGTGGAAATCACAAGTTTACAGTCCTTACTCTTTTTTAAAAATATTTATCTGTGCAACCGTGTATTCTAAACACCCATAGTAAAATTCATTCCATCCATAAGAATCAAGAATTAGATAAAACGATGCTTGTAATATTTATTTATTTCATAAACCTCATTAATGAAGTACTACATTTTGAGTCTCTTACATTTGTTACATCAGTAAGCAAACATAACATAAAGAGAAAAAGTGCCAAACAGCCAGAGGGAGACACACGGTCATCTGTTTCAGCTTTGTGTTACACCCCAGCTTCCCACAAGATGTTATGAGTGAATTATGCAATTCCGGAAAGCATTCAAAGAGCTAACCATGTCATCAGTACAATAGCTGTAAGTTCAGCAGAAGCAGAAAGAGGTTTTTCAAAGATGAACTGGATAGTTCAGAGAAGAGAAGTTGCCTGTTTCTAATACATTAAACCAAATGACTATTTTTTTCA